GGAGGACAGGGCAGGGCACCCAGGCTCCGTCTGAGCACACAGACTGTGATGGAGTTCCTGTGGGCCCAGAAGGTAGGTGGGAGTGGGGCGTGGGTGCACCTCTGTTCACCAAGTGGGTGTGGGGTATATGAGTAACAAGAGGAATGTCGTACCTTGTCAGTCTTGCACGTCCCGAGGGTTGCTGGAAAGCAGAACATGTTCTTAAGCCCCAGGAATCTGCGAGAGCATTGTCTCTTTAAATATCCAAAATAGTAAAGCCTCTTTTTAAACCTTCAAAACGGCGGTGTCCTCTGGACCGGCAAAAGTCCACAGCTCAGCCTACCTTTCTCTTCACCTTCTCCGTTTGTTCCCCAGCCACTGTGCACAGTCCTCCATGTAGTCCCTGGCTAGCAGGGTGATTTTTAGCTTAATTCTTAGGTCCTACCACCACTCGGGAATCTCCAAGCTGTCTGTGCCGTCAGGATCACTCAGGATCGCTGCCAGACCACAGCTCTGTCTGTCTCCTTTTTTGGTATTTTCACGCAAATTCTTCTGCTAGTTGGGGTTTAGTCCACTTCTATATCCTTCCCTTCAAGGCTCAGGGTTCCAGGATTATCATCTGTGTCTGTGTTAATTGGTTTCCCTTTTCTTTGTTGAAGAGGGTCTGTGCAGTCTTTCTGCCTAGTCCTCCATCTTGCCGGATCTCCTCTTTTTGTTCTTTCCTGTCTTTTTAAGGACTTTTTGCTTTCTTCGTGTATGACATCCTTGATATCATCCCGAAACTCATCTGATCTTCAGTCATTAGTGTTCAGCGTGTCAAATCTATACTTGAGGTAGTCTCTAAATTCGAATGTGATATATTCAGCATGATACTTTGGCTCTTGTGGATGTGTTTTAACTTTTTCAGCTTCAACTTGAACTTGCATAGGAGCAATTGATGATGTTGGATCAATTCCATAATTGGCCACCAGAGCTCCCTTTTCCATAATTGGCCCCAGCCTTGTTCTGACTGTTGATATTGAGCTTCTCTATTGTCTCTTTCCACAGATGTAGTTGATTTGATTCCACACTGATGGAGGAGACACATCTCCTAGTTTTACAAGGCAGACTGTACATCTGTCTAAATACTAAAAAAATCAAAACCAAAACCAAACTCACTGCCATCAAGTTGGTCCCAACTCATAGCGACCCCTCCTTGGGTTTTCGAGTCAGTATCTCTATAGAAGTAGATTGTCCAGTCTTCCTTCTGAGAAGTGGCTGGTGGGTTTGAACTGCCAGCCTTCTGGTTAGCAGTCAAATGCCTTAGGCACTATGCTACCAGAGCATCTACTAAAAAAAATAGACAATGGGTATTAATGAACTTACTGGATTTCATTAAATATAAGATGATACTCATTATAAGATGCATTGTTTTATAAACTACTAAGAAAGATAAACACTGACAATTAAACTATGACATGCCATCAATTATAAGACTTACCTGATTTCAGAGATGTTAATACATATTTTAAATATACATGGTTTAGAATCAATGAAATATGATAATAAAAACTCAGTGTTGGGCAGCTAAGGAGACTGGTACGAAGGAGAGATCTGACTGGGGTGAGCTAAAACACAGAATACTTCCTGGAGGAGGAGAGAGACGAGGGGAAGAGTATTAAAGGGTAGAGCATACCAGGCCCAAGCTTGGAGGCAAGGTGGGAAGCATGCTGGTGGGTATACAAGGGCAGGTAAAGTAGCTCCACACACAGCCTCAAGCCCTCTCCATTATCCCTACAGGTGCCAAGAAGAATGCCCCTTTGGGACCTTCGGTTTCCAATGCTCACAGCGCTGTGACTGCCACAACGGAGGCCAGTGCTCACCCACTTCAGGTGCCTGCGAGTGTGAGCCAGGCTACAAGGGCCCGAGCTGCCAGGAGCGGCTCTGCCCCGAGGGCCTGCATGGCCCAGGTTGCACCTTGCCCTGCCCCTGTGATGCCAACAACACCATCAGGTACGAGCTGGGTTCAGGTGAGCCTGGGAAGGATAGGGTGGGCACTGATGGAGCAGGAGCTTATTAGCCACTGCCCCCTACCTCTAGCCCAACCTAGCAGAATGGCCATCCAGGCAGAGAGGAGAAGGAGCTGGGACTCAGCAATCAGTTCAGCTAACCCTTTGATGAACAGAAGGGGACGCTGAGGCCGAACAGCCAGAGCCAGGACTAGAACCCAGGCCTCCTGCCACTGTCTGCTACACCAGGCTGCCTGCCATACCCAAGCTGCCTGCCTTTGAAACTGAGCCAATCTGAGACCCCACACCCACAAGCCAGCAGGGATCCTGGGGCCCTCAGGGGGGCATGTGGGTGGGACGGGGCTGCACCAAGCTGTGGTGCCTGGGATGGCAGGGCTTGGGGTGCCACAGGCTCTGGGAGTATTGTCCTAGAGAACATCCCCCCCACCATACACATACAAACTGCGTCTAACCAAGCCACTCCTCCAATCCCAAAGGCCCCAGAGATGTGGCTGCCAGGGCAGAAGCAGGAGATGAAACCACAAGTCAGTACTAGAAAGGATCTTAAAAATCAGTATGCCCAGCCCTGGGACTCAAAAGTTGGGTTAGAGCAATGATTCTCAACCTTAGGCAGTATTGCCCCCTGTTTGACATTTGAGAATGTCTGGAAACATTTCTGTTTGTCACACTTGGGAGGAAGTAATGCTGGCAAGGGTAGAGAAACAGGAAAGACAGAGGGCAGACCCTTCATCATAGTCTTGGCTTGGGCCAGTTCTCTCTGAGCTTTGTCTCCTTTGTGGCTTAGGGACCCCTGAGCAGAAGCTGGCTCCCACCCCTGCTTCTAGAACAGCCAGAGCTGCCCTGGGCCGCCTCTCTAAGCTCCCTTCCCTTCCTGCTTCATGCACCAGCTGGCACCACCCTCTGATAATAAATGAGGCTGTCGGCCCCCAGATAAATGCCTCCACAGCCCTTTATCATGGCTGCCTTTATTGCCACTTTATTGCAGTGGCAAAGCGGGCAGCATCTCCCATGTGCCTTCCCACTCTCCTCTGGCCTAGGGTTCAGGCCAGACAGAGAACTTTGCAACCCTGTCACTGGGACAGCCAGGACTTAGCCCAACCCCTGTTCATTTCCACCTTTTGATTATCCATAGAGCATGCAGGAGCCTCTGGTCACTGTAGGCAGAGGTGTCTCAGCAAGCATTTATGACTTCAGTGGAAACAGACCTCAGTCCCTGGAGCTGAGTGCTGGGTGGAGCTGACTAAAAGAGTGGAGGGTAGGGAAAAAGGCTGTCCAAAAGGCACTAGTAGTGAAGCACAACTTTATTTTATATGCTGTTAACAAAGGAAAATGCTGTCACTTGAACTGTAGCATACCATTGATTTTATAACATACCCAAAATCAATGAAAATGTCAGGGGTGGTGTTAGTTCATCTTAGAATCACTGAAATTTGATACGTGGCTAGCCCTGCTGAGTTCTAATGTGGACGCAAGCAACTGTGATCCAGGGTTTCATGCAGAAAGTGCCCAGGAGAGCCCAGGGAAGGCTGCCTGGAGGAGGTGACCTCTAGGCTGGATCCTGAGGCCGGGGAGGTGGCGGGGCAGGGAGCTCTGAAGATTCTGAACTCTGGGATTCCCACATGGCTGGTCAGGGACAGGGCAGATGCCTTAGACAATTCCACAAGTGGGGGGTAGCACTAGGATGTCTTATCCCTGCTGGGAGGGTTAGGGAGGACCCTGTCAGGGACTGGAAAGCAAGGCTGCTGCTGGGGTCCAAACCAGGGAGAGTCCCCGCCACAGAGCTCTAAGCAACTCCCAAATTAAAGAGCTATTGTTTTCCCTCCTATGCCTGAGCAACCATGCCCTGCATAATTTATCCTTCCTCTGTAGGAGTCTTCAATGCATTATTAATCTGGAAGGACTCCCTCTTCCCTTTCGCTAATCTCAGCCTATCCAATATTGATGATTATTTGCTTTACTGTCTTTAACACGTGTCAGGTTTCAGGGATTGGGAGGCAGTAGTGGTTATTAGGGATGGGGGCTTCAAGTTTGCCTGCCAGCCCACACACCCCACACTGGACTCTCAGTGACTGCCTCACTGCCTCCTCAGGGACCATTTATCACAAGGCCTGGCCCCTTGAGGGCCAGAGCTGCCTGGCTGGCCCATCTCTGTAGCCTCAGTATCACACAGTGCCTGGCTTAGAGTCAGCCTTCAAAAGGAACCACTGAGTTAATCTTAAGCAGCCTATTCATCTAGCTACTTGCGCCCTGAGCTGAACACCTGCCCCCCCCTTTTTTTTTCCTTTTAAATATTTTACCTCATTCTCTTAACACATTGTCACAATGTGTGTTGAGTCCCCAAGGCTCACAGACATCTTTGCTTAATTGAGCTCAAGATTTCTCAACTTTGCCATTATTGACCCTTTGGGCCGAATAGTTCTTTGTTGTGGGGGCTGTCCTGTGCATTGTAGAATGTTTAACAGCATCCCTGACCTCTACCCAGTATACCAGTACCAATCTCCTCCATCCCCAGTGTGACAACCAAAAGTGTCTCCAGACTTTGTCACGTGTCCCTAAATGGCCCAAGATTGAGACTGCTGTTCTAATTCACCCTTCTTGTGCTGGTCTTGTGGACACAGAGAACTGCTCTCTTCTTCTGCACAAGTCAGATCCTCTTTCCCATGAGACCTTGTATTATTGTAGAGCCTTTTCTTAGGACCCAAGAAAAGCAGAGGGATGGCTCTGACTTCTAATCTCAAGGCAGTTAACCTACACTATGGGTGACTGAGACCCCTCAGTCCTGGCTTCAGAACTTACCTCTGTCTGAGCCAATGTACTTTGCCACTCTGTGCCTCAGTTTCCCAATCTGTCCATCACTTTTCCTGAGCCCAGTGTTCTGGGAAAAGAGTTCTCTTGTGGTCTTTGAAAGTGAAACTGCACCAAATGCTCCACCCCAGAAATGGTGTGTGGGAACCCCAGTAGCCTCACCTCACTTCCTCCCTAGCTTGGGCAGCATTCACAACAAAGCTCTCACCAAGACAGGCTGCAAGTTCTTGAGCATCTTTCCTAAGGAGACAGAGATCTACCACCCAGCCAAAAAAAAACCAAAAAAAACTTTCCTCTTTGAACCCCAGCCTCTCTCTGCTTTGTGCCTTTCTGGCCAGGCTGCCTCGTAGAGGTTGAGTGCACATGGCCCGGGAAGGAAGACGTGGCTGGTGAGACTCCCCAGCGCATGACTCCCTTTACAAACTCTTTGTAGCACACACAAAGGAGCTATCCTCCTTCGTAAAGGCACAGCCTTGAAAAAGAGAATACCTGTGTGTCAGGCCTCCTAAATGTCCCCTTTACAATTGGATTGTCATAGATGAATTCCAGCAGCCATGATCATGTATTACCTTTGAAAGATTTGATTTAGCCACCAGATATCGCATCGATAGAAATCTCATAGTGGCCGAAAGAAAGGCAGACAAATCCACCATGAAAAGATTCCTGTAATGTTCAGCTTTCGGCTCCTATTAGCTTGTGATTAATCTATGTCTAGGGAGAATAGAATAAGGGAAAAGGGAAGAACAAGAAGGGAAAAAGAAACAAACAAACAAAAAAAAAAAAACAGAGAGAATACAACATCAATCAAAATACCAGGGATTGTGAATTTTACCTGAGCCTAACCAGTTGTCACCGGTCACCATGTGATCCAAGGGAATTGTTGATGCCACTGCCAGGACGAGGGGACAGGGAGTGGGGACAGTGGGGAAGTGGATCTGTCATCCTTGTGCACAAGCATGGTGGTCACAGTTCACTTGTCAGCGGTGACTCCCTACACAATTACCAAAGGGATTTGGGGAGTTCTTACATAAAAGACAAATAAATTAAGAAAATAGATCATTGCAGTTCTCAAAATGTAATTTTAGGAGCATGAAAACGAGAAAGAAACAAAGGATTTCAGATTTGGTTTTAAGCTTTCTGGTTCCCAGTGCAAAAAGTTAAAATCAGAGCTTAGACACCCAAGGCAGCCAAAATTATTCCAGCAGAGATCAAAAGTGGGAAATGGGGGAGCCTTTTGTGAAACTCAAATTAAAAGACCAAAAAGCAAACATAATCTGTGTTTCCTAGCTCCTGTGGGCCTAGGGTGGTTATCACAGGGTTGTGCTCTTGATAAAAGTGTGCACTACAGTTGGGTGAACTTTGGGGGACCACTGGTGAGGCAGAAACAGCAGTCAACTCTATTTACTGGAAGGGCAGAAATGTGCCTGAGACCATTTAGAATCTCTAGGGCTGAACAGAAGGAGCGCTGGTGGCGTAATGCCTAAGGCTTTGACTGCTAACCAGAAGGTTGGTGGTCCAAACCCACCAGCCACTCCACGGAAGGAAGACTGTGCAGTCTACTTCCATGAAGATATACCACCTTGGAAACCCAAAAGGGGTAGCTATGAGTCAGAATCAAGTTGATGGCAGTGAGTTTGGAGGTTTTTTGGAGGGCTGGACAGAGCCAAAGCCTGCTGGCTTATGCTTGGGGCCCAAGCATGTCTGTTACCGTGGCTGTGACTAACCTTGTCCCCAAAACCCTAAACCAAAACTTCAGAGGAGGCCTCTGAAAAGTTGGTATCTACAAAGGCTAAGGACTTTGCTCAGAGTGTTGGGACAGAGATTAGAGTGCCCAAAACCATCTAGCTGAGGTTAAGAACCATCAAGTAGGCCTCTGCCTCATGGTTCCCAGGCTTGCCACTATCTCCCCTAAAGAGTTTGGAGCTCGGAGAGGAATTTTTCTGAAACTGTGAGGGTCAGCCACCTTTGTTCTCTCAGTCAGACTTGCTTTCTGAGTCTTGAAACACTCGTCCATTACCTGCACTCCTTTATCTATTTACAAGTTTATTTGCTTTAGATCTGTTTATAAATATAACAGATGATCAGTTTGGGAATATTAGAGAATACATAGAAATGTAAAACTCAGAATCACTCAAAATTCTCAACCCAGAGGTAAACAGCTATTTTGTTGTCATTTGTTCATTCTTCATCCATGGCTTTGTACCTATATTACTTTTTTTTTCCCATATTTTGGATCATGTATACAGTTGGCTTACTTCACTTAACTTTATAGGATGTCATTGAATATTTTGGAAAACATTTAAGTACCTCTCTAACATTCCTTCATATGGATTTCCATATTTCATTTAACAGTACCCTATTGTTTGAGGTGGCATCAGGCCGATCTGGATTTGAATCCTAGTCCCATTACTGACTAAGAGGTATGACCTTGGGCAAGTCACATAACCTTCAAGTGCCATCTGTAAAATAGAGGATCTAATGCTTAAATCACAGGCTTCTTTGAAGATTAGAAATATATGTGCAACTGCCTGGTGCTTTAATAGCCTGGTCACATATTATTTATTATTATTTAAATTGCTTCCATTTCCCAGTGTTATAAATAATGCTTCAGGGAACATCTCTGTGCATAAATCTTTCTGCACAACTATGATCATTTCCTTAGGACACATTCTTAGAAATGGAATTACAAGACCAAAGGGCTTGACTTCCAGGAGGCAGGCACATAGGGTGAACATTTACACCAGGTAGATATACTTCTTAGAACGATCAATCATGGGAGAACAGAAGGGCAGTATTTGCACAGGGAGATAGCTCAGGGGGCAGGAATGCATAGGAAAGAAGGACACAGGGAAGCATTAACTACAGGAGGAAGTGGCAAAAGAGCTGTTACATTGTGGGGATTGCAGTCAATGTCATAAAACAAAATGTCTATGAACTGCTATATAGAAAATAAATTTGCTCTGTAAACTTTCACCCAAATCACAATAAAAATTAAAAGAAAAAGAGAGAGACCAAAGAGCCTGAGTATTTTTAGGACTCCTGATACATAATCATAAATTGTTTTATACAAACTTTTACCAGCATTGAGCATTTGTCCCTTTTTAAAATCTTTACTCTTTTGGTCAAGAAAAGTAGTGTCCAGTTGCTGTTTTGACTTGATGATTAATGAAGCTAAACATTTGCCAAAATGATTATTAGCTATTTGCACATAGTATTCAGGAATTTCTGTTCTGTCCACCCCCTCATTTTCCATGAAGAAACCAGGGCTCCCACAGAGAAGCAACTTGGCTGGGCTTCACACAATTAGTATGTTCATTAATTCATTCACCAAATACGTGGTGAGCACCTCCAGTGTGCCAGGGATTATCCAGAGGTGAGCAGACAAAGGGTCCCCCCTCATGGAGCTGCATCCTGGTGGAGGAGACAGATGATAAACAAGTCAACAGACACATCAAGTAATCACACAGTGAAAGTACTATTCACTCTTTAATTGGACCCTGAATATGAGCCAGGCACTAGGAATCAAGAGAGACAAAACCCCTGTCCTTCTGGAACTTAACAAGACCAAGACCTCTGTGTGTTTCTCTTGACTGTCATCTTAGTTTCCCGTGACAGCCATAACAAAATACCACAAACTATAGGGCTTACGGGAGCTCTGGTAGCATAGTGGCTAAGGCACTTGACTGCTAACCAGACGGCTGGCGGTTCAAACCCACTAGCCACTCCTCGGAAGGAAGGTTGGGCAATCCTACTTCCGTAGTGATACTGCCTCGGAAACCCAAGGAGGGGTCGCTATGAGTCAGGTCTGACTCGACGGCACATAACAACAACAACAACATAGGGCTTACAACAGAAATTTTTCTTACACAGTTCTGGAGGCCAGAAGTCTGAATTTAGGGTGTTGGCAGACCCATGCTCTCTCTGATAGTTTAGGAAGATTCTTCCTTGCCTCCTCCAGCTCCTTGGTATCCCCTAGTGTTCTTTTGCTTGTGGCAGCATAACTCAATCTCTGCCTCTGTCTTCACTTGACATTCTCCCTGTCTGCCTGCTTCTCTTCTTTTTACAAGGACACCAGTCATATCGGAATAGGTTCCACCCTACTCCAGTATAACCTCATGTGAACTGCTTCCATCTACAAAGACTCTATTGTCAAACAAGGTCACATTCACAGGTAATAGGGGTTAGGACTTTAACATACATTTGGGGGAAACACAACTCAGTCCATAACAATTGTATCCCTTGATCTGAACTCCAAACCAGGAAGGCAGGTGACACAGGGCATCTAAGAGGCTTCCCGTGTGTGTTAGTCTAGATCCTCTCAGAAGCAAACCCCAAGTGCATGGGATTTACTAGGGGAAACATTAGTGAGGAGAAATGGGGAGGGATCCGGAGAGGCTGGGAGAGCTGCCAGACCTCAGTGAAGTCTGACACACATGAAGGAGAGAGGGAAGGAAGGAAGGTTGTGTGGAAGTGTCTTAGCATATAGTGTAGTTCAAAGGGAAGTTCACCAAGACTGATGGGAATCTTCATGCCAGTTGCCCATCAAAAAACCAAAAAAACAAACTCACTGCTGTTGAGTCAGTCTTGACTTCCTTGGGTTTCTGAGGCAGTATCTCTACAGAAGTAGATTGCCCAGTCTTCCTTCTGAGGAGTGGCTGATTGGTTTGAACCACCAGCCTTCTGGTTAACAGTCAAATGCCTTAGGCACTACACCACCAGAGCTCCTAGTTGCCCACCAGAGGAGTCTATCTGAGGAATGGCCTACCTTAGTATCCCTGCTGTGCTCAGTCATTGACTGGGAGCAGCCTGTGGGAAGTGTGACTGAGCAAACATAAGGTTGGACTTAAGAGCACAACAACTGGGGCCACTGTCAATTCCACTCCTTGCAGATGTTCATGGCCACCACACCTGCTGTCCTCTCTGATCATGAACAGACATTGACTGTTTGATCACACCTTTGCCAGCCAGAGATTGTGTCTCCTCTCTAGAGGTCATGCCCCTGGCTCCAGCCAAATGGTCCTTTCTCTGGCCTAGATGGACATGGGAAGGAGAAGAACTCATTCTTAGTTAAAGAATGTAAACTCATTCTTTGTTCACTAGGCTGGTGAAGCATAGGTGGAAGGTGTTCTCCCCATTGCATTGCCTGAAAAGGGGAAACCATGTCTGCCCTGAGGTTTTCTTTTAACTCAGCAAAGGTTGACTGAGCACTTAGCCATGAACAGTCACTGGGTCTCACTGCTACCTCTTATGCCTGCCCCACTACTAGGTATCTGCCCTGGGTGATGGGAGGAGGGTGAAGCCCTGGACCCTTCATAGTCCATAAGGCAAGGGGCTGAAGAGCCTTGCCTTCTGCTTTGGTCTCTGCATATTTGTATTATAAAGAGCACTTTTTAAGGATTTAGGAGAGCTGTATCCTAATTCTGATTCTGCCATATTTCCGCTGTGCAATTACTTAAACACCCCAAGCCTCAGTTCCTAGGGGCTAGTGGGACCCAGTGGCCTTGGCATCTTCTAACAAACAAGGCACTGGGCAACTTAACCTCAGTGATCCTTTGACTCTGCCACCCTGGGCAGACCTGACTTGGTGCAGGCAGGGGGTTGGGGAGGGACATGGCTGCATCCCTGACTGGACTCTCCCCTTACCCTTCTCTCACCTGCTCAGCTGCCACCCAGTAACCGGAGCTTGCACCTGCCAGCCAGGCTGGTCTGGCCGCCACTGCAATGAGTCCTGCCCTGCTGGCTACTATGGTGATGGCTGCCAGCTGCCTTGCACCTGTCAGAATGGTGCCGACTGCCACAGCATCACTGGGGGCTGCATTTGTGCCCCAGGCTTTATGGTAAGACAGGAGGGCCATTCCCATGGCCTCCCCACCCTGCCCCTGACCATAGGAGAAGAAGGGCCAGCTCTCCCCTGTTCTGGGTTGGATCAGGGGGTGTAGGAGTGTGGCCCTACACCCAGGGCTGAAGAAGGGGAGTGTCTCCTTGTGTGCCCCTCATGGGGTCCTCAAGGCTCTTCTGGAGTTTGTAATTGTAAAAGTAAAAGAAGGGGGTCTTTCCATCCTCCCCGCCCCAACACAAATTGTCTTCCTTTGTGTCAACTCCACCCTGTCCATATTCTTATGCACACAATATTTTTACATCCTAATAACCACTGTGCACACATATAGTTTTGCATTCTTTCTTCTTTCACCCACATTGCTGCTTGGGCTTCTTAATTATCATTTTGAATGGCTACGTAACGCTGATGTCCCCCGTTTACTCAGCCATTCCCTTACTGCTGAATATTAAGCTCTTTCCAATGTTCGCAAAAAATGTTGCAATGAGAATCTTCACACAAACAGCTTCCCCCATGCCTCCTATTGAATTATTTCCTTAAGGGCGAATTCCCAGGGTCAGTGGACATAATATATTTATGGCTTTTGATGGATGTTACCATATTCCTTTCCTCAAGGGTTATATAAATCTACACTGCCACCAGCTGAGTGTGAATGTACTCATTTCAGAACAACTTTGCTAACACTACTGTTTTTTTAATTTTTGCTAATTATATAGGAAGAAAATGGCTCCTCCATGTTGTTCTAATTTGCATTTCTCTGATTACTAAGGAGAGTGAACGTTTTCCACCACGTGTTTGTTTACTATTTGTACTTCCTCATGAATTATGCTGGTCTTTATGAGGTTTAATTCTGGGAACCTTGACATTGGAAATGGAATCCTATTCAAAGGTCAGGCATGCCTGGTGGGTCCAAGGACCCAGACACTCAGGGGTCAGCCATGGCCACATTTGTTATCGTGCTGGAGGTAGAGGTGTAGGCAGAAAGAGCATGGTCTTTGGAACCAGACAGCACTGGGGTCACATCCTGCCTGTCTTACCAACTGTGTGACCTTGTGCAAGTGACTTAACTTCTCTTATGTTCCGTTTCCTCACCTGTGAAATGGAACACTTGCTTTGCAAGGTTGTGGGAAGGTGTAGAGATGGGATGTATAAAGTACCTTGTAGCAGGGCTTCTCAGACTTAGTGAATTTGTGAATCACCTAGAATAGGGCCAGAGATTCTTCATGGCTAACAGGGTGCCAGGTGATGCTGGTCCTCACTTCGAGGAGGAAGGTGATGTTGTTGTTGCTAGTAGCCATCAAGTTGATTCCAACTCAAGGTGACCCCAAGTGTACAGAGTAGAACTGTTCCATAGGATTTTCTAGGCTGTGACCTTTAGCGGATTGCCAGGCCTTACTTCCAGGGTCCCTCTGGGTAGATTTGAACCACTGACCTTTCAGTTAGTAGTCCATCACTTAATCATTTGCACCACCCAGAGACTTTGTGAGTAGCCACTCTGGCTGTGCTTTGGAATCACCTGGAGACCATGACAAATGCTGACAACTGGGCCCTACCCTGGAGATTCTAATGAATTTGTCTTGGGTGTCATCTGCTTGAGGACAATGTGCTGCCAAGGTGGGGGAAAATTGATCTATAGGAAACCCTTGTCATGATTATAGAAGTGAGAATTTTCCTGGGGTCAATGTATTTTGTGGGCAGATTGCCCTTGATCTATAGTCCAGGGCTCAGAGCAAAACACTGTTCAGCTTCCTCTTCCCCAGTGGTGGTAACACTGGGTGAAAATGAACTCTGGGGGCATCTCTGAAAGGAACAGACTGTTCCTCCTTAAGGTTTCCTCTCTACTGTGTCTTTGTTGGGAGCTCTGGTAGCATAGTTTGACTGCTAACCAAGAAGGCTGGCGGTTCAAACCCACCAGCCACTCTCCTCAGAAGGAAGGTGGGACAATCTACTTCTGTAGTATTATTGCCTTGGAAACCCAAGGGGGTCACTATGAGTTGGATCCAACTCGATGGCAGTAGGTTTGGTTTGGTTTGGTGGAATCTTTGTTAATGTGAGTTTCATCCATATCTTCCATGGACAAATTGAAGTGCCCTAAATTTTGGATTTGAGTAGGAAAGAAGAGGTGTTTGGGATTAAAAATCTCACATAGCTAAGTGTTTAGATGACTGAAGATGAAGTGAATTGTTGGCAGCAGACAGTGAGTGTGGAGTCCTGAATGCCAGTCCCAGTTTGGCCACTGGTGGTGGTTCTATGACAATGGGCCTCTAGCTAATATCCAAAATGTCATACTATGTCCAAGGAGCCCTGGTGGCACAGCAGTTAAGTGCTGTGCTAACCTGAATGTTGGCAGTTCAAACTCACCAGCTGCTCCACGGGAGAAAGGACCTGGCAATCAGTTTCCATAAAGAGTACAACCTTGGACACTGTATGTGGCAGTTCTACCATGTTTTTATGAGTCACTATGAGTTGGAATCAACTCCACTGCAAAAGGTTTTTTTGTTTGGTTGGTTGGTTTGGTTCAATACTGTGCTCAGAAAACACTCTTCTGGGTGGAATGAGGGAAAGTAGGAGCAAAGAGGTGTCTGCATAATATGGGGCTCATTGAGGGTTGTTAATCTGATCATATACATTTGTCTGGGGATTTGTGTCCTTCTATCATCCCAAGAGAGAGAGTCTTGCCTCTGTTTCCCCTTCTTCACCCTAAGCTTCTCCTCAGATGTAGGGGAAACTGAATCCTGGGAGGGCAGAGTCCATGTTCCCACTGCCTCCCAGTTAGAGCTCCAGCAGTCTGGAGGCCAGGCTGCTGCCTCACTTCCTTCCATCTGGAATGCAAATTACCTCCTGTCCTTGAACTCTGGGGGACTTGGTGCTTGTTGGAATCATCTCTCTATTCCCACCTGCCTGGTGCTCAGGGCTGAGACAGACTGTGAGTCAGGCTGCCCTGGTGAGACTGTGTGAATTCCCATCCATCTCTTTCTGCCCATCCTCATTATACCTGGAAAGAGTCTTCTGGGGCCCCAGTGGTTGTTGGGCAGGAAGTGCTTGAGGTGATTATGAACAGTGAATTGTTCTCATCTAGTGTGACTCTGAGGAGAAGCCATCGCTCTTGCCCTCACTCCAGTTTCTGAATCAGTGCGATTTCTGCAGTTAGCCATCTCTGACCAGAGTGAGGGATGGGGCGATTAGCAGAGCAGACTCAGCTGAGACCCTCCCCAAAATGTCCTGGAGTCAGTGATAATTAGCAATGACTTTATTTGTTGTTGGTTTGTGAATTTCTGTACCTGCCTTTTTACCCTACTAGAAGATTAGACAGTTAATTAGAGACTAATTAAAAGAGTCCTTTTCTTGGTGTCTGGAGACCTTGATCCCAGACTTAATAACCTTGGGCATATTGTTTCACCTTGCCAGTCCTCAGTTTTCACACCTGTCAAATGGGAAGAGTCTCCTCAGTCTTTCCTACTGTTGGTTATGAGTAGCCAACATGGTAATAATGGGTGTGAGGCCACATTCTCACCCATCTCTTTCCACCAGAGCTCTCCCAGCCAAGCACTCTTGAGGGAGGATGTTGGGATAGCTTTATGAAAGCAGTCACTGAGGGCTGAGAATGGGATCAGGTTCAACACAAACATGAGGAGGGCTGATGAAGAGCAGGCTAGAGTGAAGAGCAGAACAAGCCCTGGGAGCTCAGTGAGATGCATACTACAGTAATCCAACAGGCACTCGGGGGTGGATGTGCCTGTCTATGTCTAGGGGATTGGAGATAGGGAAGAGAGTCTGGGCATTTTATGTTAGCTTTGGCTTGTTGTGTTGTTGTTATATGCCATCATGTCGGACCCGACTCATAGTGACCCCTCCTTGGGTTTCCAAGGCAGTATCACTACAGTAGTAGATTGCCCCATCTTCCTTCCAAGAAATGGCTGGTGAGTTTGAACCGCCAGCCTTCTGGTTAGCAGTCAAGTGCCTTAGGCACTGTGAAATCTTCTATAGGGTGCATTGGTAAATTGTATTGGGGCCACCAATTCAGAAAAGAATCCTGAGCTGGAAGGCAAGAGACCAATGTTCTAGTCCTGGTTCTGCTCACTCTTTGGGACTCTACTTACCATCTATAAAATGGGAATGAGATTCTCTGCACAAAGGAAACAATGAAGGCCTTGAAGGAACCAGTCATTTAAATGACAATGAGTCTGGAAGTGGTGTTGTTTCAGGACATTGGACAGCACCTGGGACAGCCTCCTTGAGCCTCTGCTCACAGGCTGCTCTGTGCCGTTAGAACGCAGGGTCCCACCTAGTCAGAATACCAGAGTGAATAGGAGTGGAGGAGTACAGAGTGAGGAGTCACTCTGCCTACCCTCAGAAGAGGGGCTCAGGCCAGCAGAGTTCTGGGGTAACTGTACTGGTGGAGGGCTAAATATAGAAAGTTAAGACCTGTGTTCCTGCCCACCCAGGCTGGGAAAGTAGCTAGAATTGTGGATGAGGGAACTAAGTGGAGCTGGGCAGACTAGAAAGGTGCCATTCACTTGGAGACTGGGGTCACATCATGTCTCTCCATGGCTCCTGATTGCCCACCAAATAAAGCTCCCACTCCAGCCCTTTGTAACCCACCCTCAAAACTAGAGTTAGTCCATGCTAACCTATTCTTCTGTTAAGTTCTGCCAGAAACCTGTGCTGTGACCACACACAACTCACTTTTTTCACAAACATGGTGTCTGCTTTAGGGCCTCTGTCTGTGCCTTTTCTCAAGCTCTTCCCACTGTCCTTAATTATTCTGTGAAAATCATTCTCAGCCTTGCAGGCTAAGATCATAGGTTGCCTCTTCCATGAAGCCATCCCTGAATACTCTTCAGAAGTAATCCTTCCATCTCTTCCGTTCTCACAGCACAAGGGACATGAGTGACATGAAGACAAGGATATGTCTCCCTTCGGCCCCTATACTTCCTCCCCCCATGCCTACCATATGAATTTCTTGCTCAATAAACTCTTTGCAGTGAATGAAGTCCCTGG